GAATATTTTGGTTGTTTGCAAAGAGATATGTAAAACGGATAATACCAAATGCCCAAGGTTTGCCTATATTCCAAGGGTCACAATTAAATTTCGCCAGTTTGAAAATTTTCAAAAAACTGCCAAAATTGTCTCTTCAACACCCTATATTGACCTATCGTTTCATTTCTTGCTCAATGCCTAACCTTCCCCATCATGGGATTCCGCCACGTGTATGCCCACGATTCACTGCCCCCTCCTCCTACCCTGTCTTTTCCACTTCAAATCACCACGTGCCCCGTCGTCCCTCGAGCCCCGCGCACCGTCACTCTCCCTTCGTAATTGGCCCTCCTTATGGTCGATTCCTCCACTCGGCGTTCGCGGTCGGCCCTCCTCATGGTCAGTCCCTCCACTCGGCCACCCTTCGCGGTCAACCCTCCTCATGGTCGGTCCCTCCGCTCGACCACTCTTCGCGGTCAGCCTCCTCATGGTCAGTCCCTCCGCTTGGCCACCCTTCGCGGTCGGCCCTCCTCATGGTCAGTCCCTCCGCTCGGCCAGCCTTCGCGGTCGACCCTCCTCATGGTCGGCCCCTCTGCTCAGCCAGCCTTCGCGGTCGGCCCTCCTCATGGTCGGTTCCTCCGCTTGGCCAGCCTTCGCGGTCGGCCCTCCTCATGGTCGGTCCTTCCACTCAGCCACCCTTCACGGTGGGCCCTCCTCATGGTCTGTCTCTCCGCTCGGCCACCCTTCACGGTCGGCCCTCCTCATGGTTGGTCCCTCCGCTCGGCCTCCCATCGCAGTCGACCCTCCTCTTGGTCGGTCCCTCCACTCGGCCATCCCTCACGGTCGGTCCTTCCCATGGTCGGTCTCTCCATTCGACCACCCTTCACGATCGGCCCTCCTTATGGTCGGTCACTCCTCTCGGCCGACCTTCACCCTGCCGGTCTCTCACAACCCTCGTTTTCTTCATTATTCCCTTCGTTGGACTAATGTTGCACTTGCGAATGGGGGACTACTAACATGGATAAGCCCATAAAGATTATAGCTCACCATTTAGGGCCCAATACATAACTCAAATACTAAAGCCCAGCATTGTTGAAGCTCCACGTAGCAATAAGAACCAATGATATCAAGCCACATGGCAAGAGAAGGGCAAGCCACATAAGCAGACAAAGATCTGCAAAGTTATTGCCACTGCACATCGCCATTAATGAAGCCCCTCACAGCATTTATTGCGATAACCCCTCTCTGTCGTGACAGAACGCCTTCACCATGAACAAGGCAAGCTAGAGCATAGACTTTCGGCCAAAGCGACAGGTCGGAAGGGACAACGAAATGATTACCAGAGGATATAAGCAGACGTCGAAGACAAGAAGAAGGTTAAGCTTTCTATCTCTAATTCACCTCTCCATTATACTTCTCTCTCTAACTTGCTCGTCGGAGGGTTCACTGGGGGACTCCCCATTCCCCGTTGAACTCTTGTGCAGGTCTTCTGGTGGGCTTGGTCACTCGAACACCAGTTTTAGGAAGTGTGGATTGGCCCGACCCGTTCCATCTGGAACAAACTGTATCATCATTTTCAATAGAGTGAATTGTAAGTGAAATAAATTACATGGTAAAAAAGTAAAACCCTCTCTCTCTTTCTTTCTTTTTTCTTTTTACAATGGATAAGAGAAAATAATGGAAGTAAAAATGGCATGATTCATTAAAATTTTTTTTTGATCAATCCAATAATTGTAATCCTTTCATTTTATCATATTTATTTTCGAAAAATAAATGTTCTATTTTCAAAAGCATACTGATTAGTATCTAGTTTTTAGAAACAAAAGCCATGAAATGAAAATATTACGATTATTAAATTGACTTAATTTTTTTTTTAATTTTTATAGATGATATATATTGAGAACTTTACAAAGTAGACATTCAAATAATCTAAATAGGATTCATGGTGAGCTCCACAGATCCTAAAAATTCTCTCTAATTCAAATTTAAACTTGGAAAAAAGACAACTTAAAATTTAAGGTGAATTACATTAACTTTTCTTGAGGTTTAAAAAAAACAAAACACATAGTAACTAATTTTCTTTTTAATAAAATTAAATGGAATGAAACTAATGCAGATAGTGTGAAAATACAAAATTATACAACGTAAAATAAATATTTTCGTATAAAAGATGACAATATCATTTTTTTAATTCATATAACTAACAAATTATTGATGAGAATGAAACTAAATGTTGTATTAATTAAAATTGCAAAGGAACTTAATATAATTATGTCAAAATTATGAAATTTACTTTATTTTCTCCAAACCCAAAGAAACCCAAAGAAAGTTGAATCTAATTTACCCTAAAGTATATTGTGGAGGAGAGAAAGAGAGATGATTATGAAACTTGGCACTTATTTATTTATTATTATTATTATTGAGACCTAAAAAAAAACTCTCACAATTCTATATGTCAGGATAAGTGTCAATTTTTAATTTATTCCATATCTAATGATTGAGAGCCCAAAATTTTTACCACACATTATAAATAAACTATTGGTCAAATTTGTGACTCTTTAACATTAATCTTTTTTTTTTTGGTATGGTAATTTTGGTTATGGATAGAGCCCCAACTAAAGTGGATCTTTTTTGAACTAATGCTAATGACTCAAAGCCATACTGCCAATAGGGAAAAGAACATTTAGGCACCCTACGTGATATCCCATAAACACAATTGCTTTGTTATCAAAGGGATGTGAAGTTGATGTTAGCCACCTCCTTCCTCACAGTTCTTAAAACCCATTTTGTATGTCCCATCTCACTTCCATACTAACTACCACTCCCTCCCTTTTAGCTACCTTTTGAATTCTTATTCCTCTCTTTCAGACCTCAGACGCATCCATGCTCTCATCCTCACAAATGGGTCCCACAAAAACCTCCTCTTATCCACCAAACTCATCACCTTAGCTCGCTCCATGGCCCCAACAATGGCCTATGCTCGCAAACTATCTGATTTAATGCCTGAAAGGGATTTATTTCTCTAGAACACCATGATTCGAGCTTATGCCGATCTGGGTCCTTGTCAAGAAGCCATAGTTCTCTATAGAGACATGCATCGGATTGGATTATTACCCGACAGCTATACTTTTCCTTCCGTGGTTCGATCTTGTGTTGTCCTCTCAGCTTTGATGGAAGGGAGAGAAGTGCATTGTAGCATAATTAAGAATGGATTTGATTTGGATGTATTTGTACATTCATTAATTACAATGTACTCGCAGAGTGGGAGGGGTTCCAATTCGGAACTAGTTTTGGTGAGATGGTTGTGAGTGTTAGAATAGTAGAGAGAGTAAATAATATGTATTGCATTCAATGTATTGTATTGAATGAATTAATCATATACAATAGAATGCTTGTATATATAGGTTGGGAAATAGTATCCTATTAAAAATCTAACTATGAGAAATAGTATCCTATAAAAAAACCTAACTATGGCTATTCTCAAATATATCTAGAAAATCAATACCTAATATATATAGGAATACCGCATATATATTAACATCCTCCCTCAAACTTAAGGAGGATAAACATCTGGAGTTTAGAGAGAGAAACGAAAACATGAAATAAAACTAAATAAAAATAAAAGGCAAATAGATTGCAAAATCCGAACGAGAAGGCAAGGGTGATAGAAATATATTAAAGCCCAGAACTAATACCGGGAGACAGTTTATGGTCATGTTGGACCGTTATAGGAATTGGTTGAACCTAATGCCAGGACAGTTTAAGGTCATGTTGGACCGTTGTAGAAGCTGGCTGGAACTAATGCTGGGACAGTTTAAGGTCTTGCCGGACCATTATAGAAATTGGCTGGAACTAATGCTAGGGCAGTTTATGGTCATGTCAGATCGTTGTAGGAACTAACTGAAATCAATGTCAGGACAGTTTAAGAGGGTCATACTGGACCATTGTAGAGATTGGCTAACCAGAATCAATGTCGGGACAGTTTAAAGGGGTCATGTAGAACCAATGCAGAGAATTGGATGTTGAACCAGCAAGCATGGCACACACATAACTTATGACATGGTGCTGAACGATGATGACAACAAATAACTGAGTGCACCAAGAGGCGGCTTATAAAAGAGTGCACCAAGGAGCAGCTTAGATGATATGCCAATGGGGCGGCTTAGAGAGTGCACCAAATGAGATGTCTTTATAGGGAGTGCGCTAAAGAGGTGGCTTAGGGAGTTCTCCAAAAGGAAGTGGCTTAGGAAGTGTGCCAAAGCAGCGGCTGAGATGGTGCGCCAAGGGATGACTTAGGTGGTGTGCCCCAGTAGGCAGCTTGAGTTGTGCACCACAGGGGACGGCTTAGGTGATTTGCATGGTGTATTACCATGTTCACTATGATATAGGTATAATACTCCCTCTCAAACTCAAATAGGTTTGAATATAGAAACTTATTTGAGGTTGAAGCAGAGAGAAAGACAGAGTGAAGCAGAAGTACTAAAACAAAAACAAAAAAAAATAATAATAATAAATTACGAGCAAAAAAAAAATCTATATATATAATAGTGCTATTTGAGGTAGGAATAAACCAACGAACAAAGGAAAAGATCACCACAAAGCGATACTAAAAGGAAAATATGACAGCGAAATAAGTTGAGGTCTAGCGGGTGGTCAAGGCAAGACTGTTGCTTGTTGGTGAAGTGAAATTACTAAGTACTTAACCTAACTCTGATATCATATTAGAATAGTAGAGAGAGAGTAAATAATATGTATTGTACATAATGTATTGTATTGAATGAATTAATCCTATACAATAGAAAACCTGTATATATAGGCTAGGAAATGATATCCTATTAGAAATCTAACTATGAGAAATAGTATCCTATAAGAAATCTAACTATGGTTATTTTCAAATATATCTAAGAAATTAATACCTAATATATCTAGGAATATCGCATATACATTAACAGTGAGGAACTATATTGATTACAGGATATGTGCAAAATGGATTTTTTGAAAAAGGGTTGGGCATTTTTTGTGAGATGATAGCTTTGGGGACTCAACCGAATGCAATTACACCCGTGAGCATTCTTCCAGCCTGTGCTGGTTTGGAGTTTTTGAACTTGGGGAAATTGGTTCATGGTTGTGCTGTTAAATTGGGGGTGGACTCTGATATTTCACTAATTAACACTTTAATCGCTCTTTGTGGTAAGTGTGGAATTGTTGATACTGCCAAATCTTTGTTTGATCAGATGCCAGTCCAAAGCCTGGTCTCGTGGAATGCCATGATTGCTGCTTATGAACAGACTAATGCTGATCGGTATGCCATTAAGCTCTTCCGTAGAATGCTAATTGAAAAAGTAGAATTTGATTATATCACAATGGTTAGTGTTATATCAGCTTGTGCTAATTTAGGAGCACTCAATATTGGGAAATGGATACATAAGCTTGTGAGGAACAAAGGTCTTGAAACTAATGTTTCAATTACTAATGCTTTAATTGACATGTATGCAAAATGTGGAAACATAGATTTGGCAAGGGATGCTTTCGACAAGTTGCCTCATAAAAGTGTTGTGTCCTGGACTTCAATTATAGGGGCCTATCCATCTCATGGGTATGGGGACAATGCTCTGATGCTCTTCACAAAGGTGAAAGAGGAAGAAATTTAGCCAAATAGCTTCACCTTCATTTATGTTTTAACAGCTTGTAGGCATTCAGGTTTAGTTAGGGGTGTAATTTTGACCCGGCCCATGTTGGGCCTTGCGGGCTCCCGCCAAAAAATCGGGCCGAGCCGGGCCAGCCCACGGGCTAGAAAACTAGGCCTACGCCCAAGCCCAGGCCCAGGGCTATTCGGGCTTTGGGCGGGCCAATGGGCTGGGCCTCTGGGCGGGCCCTTGGGCTTGGGACTAGGCTTGGGGTTTGGGCCGGCTTGGGCAGACCTAAATAATAATTTTTTTTTTCTACCAAAATTTTATTATTTTCCATTAAAAATAACATTGGGCTTCAGGTGGCCCGGGTAGGCCGGGCCTCGGGCTGCGCTTTTGGGCAGGCCTTAAGCGGGCCGATGGGCCAGGCGAAGCGGGCTGGGCTTCAAAACGATGGCCCAAGCCCTGGCCCAAGGCCTCGGGCTAGGTTTGGGCTCGGGCCCAAACGAACCTTAAAGGGCTGGGCCCACATCGGGCCGCGGGCAGGCTTCAGGCCCACCTCGGGCCATGGGCGGGCTTCAGGCCGTCCACGAGCCGCGGACGAAAATTACACCCCTAGGTTTAGTAGAAGAAGGGAAGAAGCATTTTGAGAGCATGACAAAAGATTACTCAATCAGGACTGCTGTAGAGAAAATTGGTAAAAAATTATACATATTAAAAGTGTTTTACCAATTAATTATATTATACTTTTTTCACTTTTTTTTAATAAAATATTAAAATTTCTTATTTTTATGTAACGCCCAGAAAATAATATATAAAAACCATACATTCTTTACATGCTAGTCAACACTTGGTTACATCAAAAGAAGAGTTCTAACTCTTTACACAATAAGCCCATGGCCTGAGTATATATGTAATACCCAAAAATAATCACAAAAAAAGGGTTCTTCAACCACTAATCCTCCCAAGCTACGTCCTTGGAGGTTGCATGCTACCTGAACCTGAAAATGATGTCCCATATAGGGTGAGCCAACGCCCAGTAGAGATATGCTAAACATAATATAAGCAATAACTAAGACATTAATAATCGATAAATGTTTAACTCACGTAAATCAATTAAATTACATGACCATGTGTCAATGTTTTATTCCAGTTCTTATCCAAATTTCCAATCCATAACCCTGGCTCAGAACCTGGCCATATACTTTAACAGAGATTCCATCTCATATCAACAGTTCTTCCGTTTCAATAAATCAAATGAGATAACAACTCATGGCAAAATACTTCCATAAGTCTCAACAGATACACATATTTGCTGTATCATCAACACATACAAACACTTCCTTACTTCACAAGTAATACACGGATTTGCTGTATCAACACTTCAATAGATACACAGAATTGCTGTATCAATGGAGTCCATCCCCTATCTCCTCCCACATAACATCCGGTTTAGGAGTCCATTCCCTATCTTCCCCTAAACTAGGGAGTGCATCCCCTATCTCCTCCTACACAACACCATGCATATAAACAACTATCATATACATGCTCAGTCAATACACAAATTTGATGTATTATTCCAATTGTCATATTCGATGACATATTCAATTGATTAGTTCTAGTTTGCCTAATCATCATGCATTGTCTACAACAATCACGACTATCCTCCATCGATAGCCCAAAGCAATTATTTCTAAACAGATAATAAATGCATCAACAGATAGTTTATCAACATTTTCAAAAGTGAGCGATTAATAAATCCAGCTTCACTATTCCATCTCAAAATGAGCCAATTTCATTATATTCAACTCAATTTCATATTCTCATAACAAATGTCATTATTTACATAAATGACTCCATTATACCCAAACATGACATTTTCCCCATTTTTTTCCAATATTGACCCAAAGGTCCAAATATCGACAACTAACATCAATAACCTCCTCTTTAGACTCAAAACATTTATATATGAGCCAAAAGAATAAAACCCCTCTTTTGACTATTACACATCTCAAACCCTAACTTCCCAACTCAAACCATCTATACAAATAGCTCAACATCTATGTTAAAGCATATAAGAATGAGTAGGAATCCCTACATCGAAATTAGAAGCCCAAAGAAGGAGTTGACCGAAATCCAAAGTGCTCCAAAACCAATATTTCTCAGATTAAATCGAAGCCCAAGCCACCCTCTATCTTTCTTACAAAGGACTTAGGGTAGAAACACACTAAAGTGAGATGAAACCCTAGAGAGAAGGTTGGAAGTAGTGAAAGAAGCTCTCAGATCTGGTTTTTGAAAAGTATGAGAGAGAGAGGAAGTGTAAAAAGTGATCCAAAAAGATCCAGCTGATATCTGATATGCGACTAGTCCGCTTGAGCAGAGAATAGAACGCTCGAGCGTCAAGCGCAAAAATCGGACCCGCTCGAGCGCAGAATGACCCGCTCGAGCGTTAGACACAAAAATAAAATACACCCGCTCGAGCGCATAGGGAAACCCGCTTGAGTGCATAGGGAAACCTGCTCGAGTGTAAAGTACACTCACCCAGTATTTTTTGCAGAAATGAACACCCGCTCGAGCGCCAAGAGGCCCGCTCGAGCGTGAAAAACACATCTACAAAAGTTTGTAGAGGCACAAGAGTGTAAACCCCGCTCGACCGCAAGAAGACCCGCTCGAGCGGATCACCTGAAAACTGGGCAATAGGATTTGAGACTTAAACCCAACCAACCTGTAACAACTTTGCCCAACACATCTTAAAACTCAAATATGTAGAATTAAAGGATGACAACAAGACAAACACAGCAATCAACTCCACGGAACTTAAGTCCAGAATATAGTAAACAACGAGAGGAAAACCGAGATCGCTATAACCTTCCCCCTGTAAAGAATTTTGTCCTCAAAATTAAGTACAAGTTTTTCAAAAACAAGTTTTCTTATCTCCCAATCAACATTACATTTCAAAATTTAACAACTTGACCCATTACCGGTCATCTCATCTCTTTTCAAGAGGCAATTCACAACATTTTCCACAATATGCATTATAAATATGCAACCCTTGAAATTCAATAATTTTCCATACTATATTCCGCAATTCTATATCATATTCAATGTTCATGATATATTTCCATTTTCACGGTACATTCAACATATGCAATGTTACACTAAACTCCCATTTCAAGGCAAGTTTCAAAATACTTCCATAAATCAAAACATATACAATGTTTTACAACTTAAGACATATTCCATGCTCTTAAAGTTTATCAGTATTACAAAATTTTCAATACAGAATCACACATTAATAAACAAGTCTGGATACTTTTCACGGACATCCAACTCATGTTCCCAAGTGGCTTCTTCCACTCCGTGATGTTTCCACAAAACTTTCACCAAGGGAATGGTCTTGCCTCGCAAGACTTGATCCTGCCTATCCAAGACCCGAACCGGTGTCTCCTCATACGAGATATTCTCGTCAACTTCCAAATCGGTTCAATCCAGCACATGAGACGGATCCGGCTCATACTTCCGAAGCATACTAACATGAAACACGTCATGTATCCCAGGCAACTGCGGCAGTAAGGCTAAACGGTACGCAACCTCCCCAATCCTCTCAAGGATCTCAAAGGGACCAATAAACTGAGGGGACAACTTCCCACTCTTCCCGAATCTCAACAAACCCAGCCTAGGTGATATTTTTAGAAAAACATGATCACCCGTCTCAAAGGCCAAAGGCCTCCTCCTACGGTCGGCATAACTCTTTTGACGACTCTGGGCTGTCACAAGCCTCCTATGGATAAGCTCAACTTTCTCCGTTGTTTCCCTCACCAACTTCGGGCCCAACAAAGGTGCGTCACCCACCTCGGCCCAACAAACTGGAGACCAACACGGTTGGCTATATAAGGCCTCAAACGGTGCCATAACGATACTCGACTGATAACTGTTGTTGTAGGCAAACTCCACCAAGGGCAAGTGCCTCTCCCATGACCCACCAAAGTCAAGAACACAACCTCGAAGCATATCCTCAAGGATCTGAATAGTACGCTCGGACTGCCCGTTAGTTTGAGGATGATAAGCCGTGCTAAAGGTCAACCCAGTACCCAAAGCACTCTGCAAACTCTGCCACAACCTAGCAGTAAAACGAGGGTCTCTATCTGAGACGATCGACACTGGGACCCCGTGCAACCTCACTATGTTTCGAATATACAAGTCGGCAAGATGATCTACCGAATCTCTCACACGCATAGGGATAAAGTGTGCCGACTTAGTCAACCGGTCTACAACCACCCAAATAGCATCACTACCCCACTGAGTCCTCGGAAGACCTACAACGAAGTCCATAGTGAGATGCTCCCACTTCCACTAGGCAATAGGGAAGGGTTGCAACAAACCCGCTGGCCTCTGATGTTCGGCCTTTACTTGCTGACAAGTAAGGCACTTCGATACGAAAACAGTCACATCTCTTTTCATACCCCGCCACCCAAACTGGCGACCCAAATCACGATACATCTTGGTGCCTCCCGGATGCACTGCAAGGCGTGAATGGTGAAACTCTCGGAGTGCCTCCTCTCGGCAAGACTCCGGTACAAATAAACGGTCTCGGTATCTCACGTTCAGGTCAGGATACACAGACAAACCCTTCTCAGCCTTCCTACTGGAGATCTTCTCTCGAGTGGATTCTACCTCAAGGTCACCTCTCTGTGCCTCTATCACTCGATTTACAAGCATAGGCTACGAAACAACAGAAAACAAGGCCGCAGCCTCAACGAATTCGCCCAGAAGCAAATCAAACTCCCCAAGTGCACCCAACATCTCCCATTCTCGGATGGCTATGCAAGCTACATCACTAATAGATTTCCTGCTAAGGGCATCGGCCACAACATTGGCCTTTCCCGGGTGATAGTGTAACTTGAAATCGTAGTCCTCAATAAATTCCATCCACCTCCTCTGCCTAAAGTTCAAGTCTTTCTGTGTAAACAGATATTTCAGACTCTTATGATCCGAGAATACCTCGAACCTCTCACCATAAAGGT